TATCTGCTCAACCGTTCAACCTTTTAATTTATTTTTTTTACTCAGAGAAAGTCCTGAAAAATGTCTTGTCAGCCATATAATCAGGGAGTTTCATTCTGTGTTGAGCTGGCTCCACCACACACTTCTAAAAAAGTAAAAAATGTACAGGTTGTCTCCGAACTTGACCATATGACCTTGGCAGTGAAAACATAAATATGTTACAGAATTCAATGTTTTGGGCCCAAGTACAAAATTTGGTCAAGAATATGGTTGATGGAACCCTTTGTGACCTAGAAAAACTGGTCTGAACTTGAAAAACTATCAAGAAGCTTCTCTAAAAACTCATTGAAAAAGTGTAACATAGAAATGTGTTACAAAATTCAATATCCAGGGCCCCCAACTAAACTGCTATATCTCAGGACCTGAATATGTTAAAAAAATACTGATTCAAGGGTGCCCTCAGTCAAAGGGTCTAGTTTTTGTCAGTAGTTTCAGTTTTTCTTAAAATGTTACAGATTTCAATCTGGGGGCCCAGAAGTAAAGAGTGGGAGAAATGTAACAAAACCACCAACCAGGTTTGAACACGTCCTGGTGCATATATGATGTGAGTGACAGGTGTAAAATCTAAAATATATAAATATAAATGGGGGTCTTTTCATAGGAAAGTGTTGAAGTTTAAGTCCTGCCAGTTAATATTGTCAGGTTGGTGTTGAGCCTTCATGATAGAAAGCTTCAATCGGGATTTAATTGAACCTAGTGAACCTATTTTACCACGTGCATTTGACTGCTCAAGAAACCTATTCCATAAATTTGCCCCTTTATATGCGAAATTGTGAGATGAGTGTGGTGTCACAAATCTGTCATCTCTGAGCTCAGACTTCTTAAAGAGAGAATACATGGATATGGGCTGATGACTCTTCACTATCTTCATTGTTTCAGTAATGCATCTGTATCTATATATGTTATGTACTGTCATTAGTTCCTTAGATTGGAAAATAGGTTTTGTTGATTCTCTAGAGTGGAATTCTGCCCCAAGTATTTGGCAGCGATGTGGCCTTGCTTGTTTATCACCAGTCTTCCTCAAGCTGATACATATAGAACACGGTTTAATGTGAGGTATAGTTGATTCATTGGATATTTGACCTTTCTTGTTTATACTGCACTGGATTGGCCTGCTACGAGAACAAGTTTTAAACTTGTCGCTAAATGCTTCCGAGTCCCCAAATAAGATTCGGACACATTTCTTCTGTGCAAGGAATAGTGGTGAAAGCTTATTAATTGATACACCACCCCATACAGTTATACCGTATCCTAGATGAGATTCAATAAGAGTGTGGTATATCTGTTTGTACAGCTGGCTGGGGAGGGAGTTTTTTATTCGATAAATGCGGCCACATATGCTGTTTAATTTCTTAGTTAGTTTCTCGATATGAGGTGTCCAACTCAGTTTGTCATCAATAATTACACCTAGAAATTTCGTTTCAGTAACCTGTTTGATCGGGATCCCATCAATTTCTAGATTCAAGTCATTTTCAGTATTATCAATGGTCTTACGTTTAGTAGGCGAGAAGTACATGTAACAAGATTTTTTAACATTAATGTGCAGTAGGTTATGGCGCATATATTGGCACACAGAGTCGAGAATTTCATTCGCTATTTTGTATGCTTGTTCCTTAGTTTCAGCAGCTACAAAGATGTTTGTGTCATCTGCGAATAGTACAAATTTTCCTAATGTACTACATCTATAGATGTCATTTATATAGATAAGAAAAAGCAAGGGGCCCAAAACGGATCCTTGAGGTACGCCTAGTTTAACTGGGAGAGGCTCTGATTCTTCACCAAGTACACTAACATACTGGTATCTATTATTTAGATAATATTTAATTTAAGAGGGTTTTTTTTTATAGGACTGGTTCACAGTGTGAACCGATACCAGATTTATATATTTTTAAAGTGATATTTAATAAATGATTAAAAGAACCAATTTTAAAGTTGCCATAGTAAAGCCTTTAGGTCCAAAAATATACACATTATGCTCACTTAAAAACAACTCTAAATCAGTAGGCTGTCACTCTATTAATGCACCACACCGCTCCCTCCACTGCACTAAAAGTTATACAATAAATGCTACAATCCTAATTTTGTATCGTGATAGAGACCGGTGTCCATACAAAACATTTACTAGGTTGCCGTTTGGTGTGAGCAATAGCGAACAGCACGCACACTCCTTTGCCCCGTCAACCTATATCTAATCTATTTAAAGAGTGACAATCATACTACACATTGAATTAGGATTCCTTTAAATATCAAATTGATTTATTGTAAACTTGTTTACTCTGTAATAAATGGCATAAAATTGAAATTTTTGTTTTACTGAATTTTTGTTTAACTGACATTATCCGTGTCATTATCCATTGAGTCCATCTAAATTTATGAACTATTGCATTGGGATTGATAATCAACTATATTCAATGACTAAGGTTGAATATAGAAGGCGTTATACTTAGAAATATTCTTGTTATAATAAATAAATAAACTTGACGAGATCCCAAATCAAACGATCAAAATCTACTAAAAATGCTTCTTTACCAAATTATAGATGTTCTCGTAAAATAGCGCTCAATTTCATTTTTCTTTGAAATAGCGCGCGGCGTTTAACATTTAAATTGCCACTTTAAATTCATTGCATCAGCTCACACTCAAATTTTAAATTGTATCTATTTTAAAGTTTAAAAAATATTTGTTATATTATATCAAATTATAAATACCAAACCATTAATTTTTAAATTTTACATTATCATATTTTTGATATCCATACGTTGTATGCCCGCCGCGCACGAGTGCGCCGTTGTATCGTGGCTGTATCGTGGTTTTCACCAATACTAAGTAAACCGACAATGGGGGTCACGACGTGATATTGACCATTGTTAATGGTCTGGCCCGGCGCTCGCTACTTCGTAGCACTTTCGAGAAGAAAGCGGCGCGCGCTACTTCGAAGAAATTTAGACGAGTAACTTACATCCGTCAAGACGTGATACACATTTTTGATAATTTTCTTTTTGCATAATTATTGATTGATTCACGATGTCAATCCTTCGCAGCTCGGTGAGGTACAGTGGTGCATCTCGCCGATCTTGGTTGCAAGAAGAATTATTTGATGCGCGGCGCGACCCAGTAGTGCATCGCGCTACAAAATTATTGATTATTCAAATTTTGAATTTGGTTTTTTAATCATTTTTCATTTCTGGAGCAATTCATTTGTATTCCATATTTATAATTTATATTAATAATTCCTAATTAAAAGAAATACGTATTTTTAACGATTCGGATAAAAAAGGTTAAATTGTAAATTATTTATTGATACATGTTACGTATCCCAAATATCATAGATATTTCCGCCTTCGGCGGCGCGCGCTTCGCACGCGAAAAGTGGCATGCAACGTATGTCAAATTATTTAACAGAATTAAATTGGTGCTGGTATTTCACATTATGTTTTTATATTACATGTTATTTAATCATGCATATTATTTTATACAAATTATAACTTTTTGTATTTTCTTGTATTACGTAGTTACCCCACGGTCGTAGTGGCCCCACGGTCGTTTCACTATGGTGTCACCCCTGTAGAGTATATACGGTACAGGGGAGCCGCGCACTTGTGCGCGGCGGGTCATACAACGTATGACAAGTATTTTCTGAATAGTGAAAAGGCTTCAGTTTTTAATTACTGGGTGGCGCTCAGCTGTTCATTCCGCCAAATCTCTATCCACATGTTTATGAACATTATAGCCTAGGATCCCCAGCTAGGTACGTAAGCTTGAGTAAAATTTGATTCACGATGTCAATCCTTCGCAGCTCGGCGAGGCCCAATGGTGAATTTTTTCGATCTACCAAAGTGGTTGCGAGAAAATGCAAACTGAACGCAAACAAAAAAAGTAAAAGCAAACATTTATTTTTACTGGGCGGCGCTCAGCATGTAATTCCGCCGAATCTCTATGATTGTGAACATAAATACAATAGCCTGGGCCGGGGTCCCCAGGTAAACATTTATTGAGCTGTTAAAACATAAAAGATATTTGGATTTTTGCAATTTTTGCAATTTTGCAATTACTGTAGCGCTGCGCGAAAATGTTTCGCATCTATAACTGTCTATTACATACGAAAAGATGTTTCATAGAATCGAGCGCTACACCTGAGGCTTACTTATAATGCCAAATCCATTAGTCCATTGCTGATCCTGGAACTGCTGGGTTAGTCAGCCGAAGTCAACGATTCGACCAGATCTGCAGCTTTGGTACCAACTGCCATTTAGTATGTCCTGCAATATATTTATTTTTCATTGCAACATGATCATATCTAGTCAGTAAATGATTTGCAGTCTGTTCTCCACAGCCACAGGAACAGTATAGAATAGTAGTAAGATGGCCATTTCTTTTTGTCAATGCTATGAAGAATGTGCTTTTAAATTTGATGATCACGCGAGAAAGTGCATTGCTAAAGCTAATAATATCATAGTGGACTTGGAGTGGCAAGAGAGTGACTAAAAGGTATATACCTTTTACAAAGATACGTCGAAAAGAATCCAGGGTGATACAGGATCGGAGACTGCAGACCGTAAAGTATACGCACCCACCCTTGCCTCCTGAAGTCTTGGTTGGATAGACATTTATGCAAACTTGGTCGTTTACACTCCAAGTCCCTTTGTTAAAAGAAGTAGTATTATTTATGTCTGGAGTAAGCTTCATTCAATAATAACACTATCAGTATCAATATCAGACTAAACTATCCAATAAATTATCAAATATTAATTATTAATTCGTTCTAAATAAACATTTATAAATTAAGATGTTTAATTACAAGTGGTTAAAAACGCCCAAAATCGATCTGAGAGTTTTTCAGTCTGTAGTACAATCACGATAGTAATAGTAAGTGTGTGCCGCTGCAATAAGATTAGGTTACTGCAATTTAAAATTGTTTGGAGTCCAAAATTGTTTGGAGTCCAAGTTTTAATACTTTCAACACTACTATATAACAAATAATTTGAGGACCCCGAAACTTCTGAGTTATACATCATAAAAGATTTTATATCTGTCTCCATCCTCCCAAAAGAATGGTAGATCCCGATCAAAACTCAGAGGCTGGACTCCTCAAATCATGTCTTACAGGGGCAACATGACAATGGTAATGATAATGACAATGATGATAGTGCCAGCCCCCCTTGTTTTGTTGTGAACGATCCACGTATGTTAGCTGCTGATGGAATCTGCAGAAACTGCTCGTTTGATTCTAAAGGAGAAGTGGTATGTTGTTATGAATGTAAGAGCAATTTTCACGCTACTTGTTATGAACTAAAGGACGGTAAACGTGTTAACTTTCCTGATAATGTATGCTCCCCGTCCTTACTGAAATCTTTCAATGCTAACACTGAATCAAAACAGAAAGGTAAACGTTTTGGAAGTTTCCTCTTCCATTGTGACTCTTGTGTTACATTAGCAAACCTGAGAAACGCTGCTGATTTAAAAACCCATGTACACACCCTTGAAACAAAAATGTCAAAACTAGATGCTGACATAGACACCATTAAAAATCTCTTGTTAAATCCTGCCACTCTTCATGGATTAAGTTTGACCGCAGGAAACTGTTACATATCACCAACCCTTTCACCAGTTAATAGTAACCATGAAACTGGTGGCTCTAATGGTGTTGTCGAAAATCCCTGGCGTGACAGCAGCAGAGTAGAAAAACTGAGGCATCCAGCTTCAGTAATAGTCTCTGAAGGGGGAGAAAAAGTTCCATTATCTGACCTTAAAACTATTATCACAGAAAATAACATTTTTGTAGATAATACCTTCGAAAACAAGAAAGGTGAGACAGTTATCACCACATCTAGTCAAGCTGATCGAACAAAGCTAGTTCAATCTATCTCCAAAAAATTTCCCAAATCTGATCTCAAGCAACCTATAACCAAATTGCCTACGATATCCATTTCCGGGATTAGAGATGAAATCACAACTGATGATCTCTTTGAAACCATTATGAAACTTTACCCTGACATCAAGTCCCTCATTGATTCTGGTGAAACATTCTCTGTACTCTCAGTCCGCAAACAACGAAATTATCAAACAGAAAAACCACTGTTTCAAGCTTCTGTTAGAGTGAGCAATGCCATAAGGAAGCTAATTGAAAATCGTGACAGTTTCCTATCGATAGGTTTGTACCGCTGCAAGGTGTATGATCACTTTTACATCAAACGATGTAATAAATGCCAAAAGTTTGGTCATTACTCAGCCCAGTGCCAAGCATCTAACCATGTCTGTGCTCATTGCACTGAAGATCATGAAACTAACTCATGTACAAATAAAGACACACATTCCTTTCAACCCTCCTGTGCTAACTGTAAAATTCTAATAGAACTGATGAACAGTACACACACTCAGCCACAGATAGATCATGCCCAGCCTATATCTCTGAACAGCACAAGCTTAAGCATTCAATCTCATATTACACCCAAAAAAACTGGTGAAGAACAAGACTGGAGTTAAGAGCCTTAGTATGAAATGTGCAAGCTGGAATGTTCGCTCTCTAAACAACAAAGTTGACCATGTTATGAACTTTTTAGAAGATAACAACATATCTATTTTCTTTGTTACAGAAACATGGCTAACTGATGAGAACAACAACACCACTGCAATAATAAAAAACTATGGCTATAAACTTTACCAAGTGTATCGCAAAGACAAATCAGGTGGAGGTGTTGCCATAATCTACAAATCATGTGTTCGTCTAATCAAAGTTTTTGCCAACAATGACGGATCATTTGAGGCAATTAACGCAAAACTGAAACTCGTTGATGGGTCTGTCGTCTTCTGCTCCTGTGTCTACCGTCCACCTGGGTCCTTGGGAAATTTCCTCTCTGATTTTGAAGATTTCCTGGCGGATGCATTCTCAAAATACAAGCATTTCTTGCTATGCGGAGATGTTAATATGCACCTAGACAGAATCTCTGCCCATGTGAGCGAGTGGAGCACCATACTATCATCTTTTGGGCTTCATCAACTTGTCTACTCACCAACACATAAAAAAGGTCACATCCTTGATCCTGTTATTTCTTCGCACAAAGTAGTAGATCAAACTTCTGTTGAGGTAATGCAAAACATGGCCAAAAGCTTCCCATCCTGTGACCACTATCCGATTATATTTCAGCTTCATAAGCCTCCTGACATCGACAAATGTGAGAAAGTCATACGCTTTAGAAAGATCAGAGACATAGATCAGGAACAATTTAAAGGTGATTTATCTGTTGCTCTATCTGAGTTGGTTTTTGAAGAAAAGAGCTTCTCTGATGTTGTGACTCAATTTAACAATGGGTGTCAACATATACTAAATGTACATGCTCCAGAATATTCCAAAACCATCAAAGACATTCCCACTGCTCCCTGGTTTGATGGCGAATACAAAGTTGCAAGAGCCGACAGAAGAAAGGCTGAGAAAGCCTGGAAAAAGTCAAGTCTTGACATTGATCATGATATCTTTGTTCATTTGCGAGAGCACTGTTCAGAGCTGACTCTCAAAAAGAAAAAACTGTTTTTCTCTAATACTTTCCAAAAATACAAACACTCACAAAAGAGCCTTTACAAATTTGTAGACACTTTCCTGGATAAAGAAAAGAACCTCACTTTACCATCTTCAGAAAATCTTCAGGAAACTGTAAATGCCTTTAACCAGTATTTTACTGAAAAAATTGAGAAAATCCGAACATCATTTCCCAACACTACTGTGACTAATAGTTCTCCAAACTTCAATGGCCAGGCATTATCTGAATTTAGAAAAGCTACTATTTTTGAAGTAAGAGAATTGATCAAAGAATCTGGCATCAAAACCTCATCGATTGATCCACTACCTAAAGAACTCTTGTCAGAGCACCTTGAGCTAATCCTCCCTACCCTTTGTGATATTATCAACGTTTCTCTTTCAACTGGAAATATGGAGGGAATCAAACTAGCACATCTCACTCCCCTAATCAAAGGAGATTCCCTAGACACTGAGAACTTAAAGAATTATAGACCCATCTCTAATCTTACATTCATCGGTAAACTCATTGAGCGCTTTGTATTAAAATGCCTCAATGAACATCTAGCCAAGAATAATCTCAACATCGACCACCAGTCTGGTTACAAAAAGCATCACAGCACAGAAACACTCCTCATTACCATAGTCAATGACCTCCTCATAGCCACTAATGAAAACACAGCAACAGTTGTAATGCTTTTAGACCTGAGTGCTGCATTCGACACAGTTGACCATATCAAACTGATCAATATATTGAAGTGTGAGATTGGGATTGCGGGAACAGCCTTGAAATGGTTCACCAGCTTCATCCGTGGTCGTTGTCAAAAAGTCAAGATAGGTGACCTAGAATCTGAAGAAATTGTAATAAAGTTTGGTGTCCCACAGGGCTCTGTCCTTGGCCCTGTGTTGTTCAATATCTACATCCGCTCAATTTACTCTTCTGTAAAATCAAAGCAATTTCTGATCCATGGCTATGCTGATGATCACCAGATCTACAAGTCATTTTCATCCGCTACAGAATATCAAGTCCTCAGCGAAGACCTGCCCTCCTGTTTTAGAGAAATCGAGACCTGGATGACGAATCACTTCCTTCTTCTGAATCCAACTAAAACTGAAATTATAGTTTTTGGTTCAAAACGTTTATTGTCAGAATTAGAAATTGGAGGTGTCTTCCTAAAATCTTCTGTCTGTATAAGACTTGTTAACGTTACCAAAAACCTTGGCTTTACATTGGATTCCTCTCTGACTCTAAATCCTCAGATAAAGAAGCTTAAAGCTGCAAACTGCCACAAGATGCGGAATATTGCAAAAATGAAACCATTCCTCTCTGAAGATCAAATGCAAATCATCGTACAATCTCTTGTTATTAGTTCGCTTGACTACTGCAATGCACTTTACTATGGTACTAATCATTCTGTTTTGAAACAGCTACAATCTCTGCAAAACAGAGCATGTCGCTTAGTTAAAGGTCTAAAGAGGAGAGAAGAAGTTGAGCCCTACATAAAAGAACTTCATTGGCTCAAGGTACAAGAACGTATTGAATTTAAAATACTCCTGCTAACTTTCAAACTGCTCCATGGACTAGCACCTTCATACCTGTCAAACCTTGTCAAGTACAATCCCAGTGGTGGCAGAGATGTGTCTCTTCATTGCCCTATAAACAGTCCACCAAGAGCCTTCTCTTCATCTGCTCCAAGATTATGGAACAACCTTCCTCAAGAAATCAGGAAATGTGTAAACATCAATGACTTTAAGGGAAAACTAAAAGCTCATCTGTTTAGAAAGTCCTTTGATATGTACTGAGTAAATAATACACTATCAGAAGATTTTTAAAATCTTCATCCTATAGCAGGTCAATTTTACGCTTTAAATTAAATTATTTTAGGCTACTAATTTTTCAGGATTTTCGGGCAACATTCGAGATATTATTCTTTTCCGTGTTTCACTGTGTCTGCCAACAAAATTTTAGTGTAGGTCAGAAAAGGAGGCTCTATCCCGGGACACCAACATTTTTTGGGTTGGCACCCAGGAGAAAGCTGCCTTATTCTTTGTATTTTGTCTCAAGTATTTTAGCATCTTCTTCCACTCTGTTTATTTCACCGTCTCTAGACTTGTATGTTGCCCAGATAATTTGACATGACTGTATTGGATTTTCTGTAACATCAGTTACTGTTCTGCAGTAAGCTTTTTTAATAATTTTGTATTGGATATTGAAGTATTCAGATTGTTTGTATATTTGGAGTTATATATATTTGGAGTCTCATACATAGATTTCTTGTGGTCATCATCTATTTTTCATATGTTTTGTTAGAAAACCTGCTAACCTTTCCTGGATATCTTCTTGTTAAAGGTGTTTCTGCCTTATTTAGTCAGGATTTAACTTGTAGCTATAAACTTCCGTTTTTAATTCCAGTCCAAGGCGAGATGCACGATCTCTACTGTCATTTAGGTATCATTTACAGCTGAGCATAAGGGT